CTATGCACCAAGGTCATGCTAGTGTCAGGCCTGGAGCCACTTAGCAAGGGGTACAAGGCATGCCAAGGCCAAATGCTGCTTGTTTGAGAAATTTTAGGCAAATCCGAAGCAGAAACTGTTTCCATAAAAGACAGGCTGGAATCTACTTGGGTGGGCCCACAAGTTGGGTGTGGCAAGATCTCAGTGAATCACCCAGGTGGGGCAAACAGTAATTGCCAGGTTGATGGGGACTTAGATATGGCACCCACCTGCTGGCTTGAGGGGGGCGGGGGGTTGAAAAGGAACATGGCCTCTCCATCTTTCACTCTGATGCCAGACAATTTAGTTTCTCCTCATATGTCCCTGGTGCCCCAGTGCTGGAACTCAGAGCATGTAAGTCTGTGCTTGGACCCTTTAACAGGAAGGCCTGGGACTTCAGAGCCCTCCATCTCAGCCTCAGTCCCCACTGCTTTTTTCAGCCAAAAGTTATGGGGACTTCTCTTCTTCACACTGGAACCCTGAGTTAGAGGGCCTGTGCTGGAGGACCTCTGCATCTGAGAGATCCCTCCCCATTTTTATCTGCCACATGTGGGTGAGGGACCAGATCATCTCCATCCCTCCTATCAGTCTTGATGTGGCTTCTTCTTTATATCTTTAGTTGTAGGAATTCTGTTCAGCCAGGTTTCAGGCAGCTCTGAATGATGGTTGTTCTGTAGGTTAGTTGTAATTTTGATATGGTTGTGGGAGAATCCAAATACCACACTTTCCTACACTGTCAGCTTAATGAGACCACATCCTTATATCATGATTTTATTGTTTCTCCTCTGATAATAATGAAAGGCATAATCCACTGGAGAAAATGCCCAATGGTCCTATTATTAACCTGTCAGTCTTAGTTTTTGCTAGGTGATTTACTGTACTCTAACAATCAATTGAGCAACATAAAATACACACTTTTATTATTTTTACACAGGAAAGCAAAATTTAGCTAAAGTCAAACAGTGAACAAAAGTTTCATAAAATTAATAAAAATCTAAGGGGGTATTTGCATGCTGATACTTCTTCCATAGCATACTTATAAACTTTTCCAAACATGTTTTCAGGTAAGCCTGCATATCTATTATAGTTGGTATTTTGATTATAGCCTGTTTATTTCTTCCTCCTGTAGACACCTGCATTATTAATAGGTACCAACATTAACACATTCCTTATCTTCCATAATGCCAATTTCTTGAGAAATGGTTCAATTTTCAAGAAAAAGTTATCAGTTCTGCTGATCTTCTACTCAACCACACCCAATGACCATTCATAGTACCTGAAACTTTGTTTTCTGTCCATATGAATCCAAGACTGCGGCTCTCCAATGCAGTAGGTTGTCAAGTACAAAGACTAAATTAAAGTTTGTTTACATCGTTTATTTTTAAAGAAATTTAAAACACAGTGTAAACATACATCAAAGATATTGTGGCAAATTAGATTAGAAATAGCATGAGGTTATTTACATTTTGTATATGTGTGTATATATATACACAAAGTGCAGATAAATACAGAAACACTACAAAATAAACAAAAAATTCAATATGATAATTTACTGACAATCATTTTCATCATATTTATTATTTAACTTGTCATGTTAATGGATGCAAAGAAATTCCTAGAACTAAAATATAATATCTAAATATTCAACTTTTACATAAACTATAGTACCTCAAATTTGAACAGTATATAAATAGGATTCTGAATTTAAAAAACAGTCGTCTTCCCTGACAAACTCCCTGTTTATCTGTAAAGGTTTCAGCGCAGAGTTCAAGAAGACTCCTGAAATCATGGCTCTCCGTACGTGGTGATACCTCAGATTTTAACAGTGTGCTCTGTAAAAGACAGGTGAGTGAAGACACAGAGGCAGATATAAAACCGCTAACAATGCTGCCACACACTGAACAATGCACATTGCAATTTTAGAGACTGAGTGAATTCAAGGCGAAGCTGGGTTGCTCTCAACCCTGTAAGGTAAAAACCATGGGGAACACTGCTGAGAGGTGGCAGATAATACACAAGGGGAGAAAATGGTCTTCTAGTTAACATGGCATTGGCACCTTCAGCCCACACCCACTTCCAACACTTAAATTCCTCATGTAGACCTGTATATGCACATCTATGGTGATGGAGGATATCTATGTTTGTAATCATTGTAAATGGCACCTGCCTTGGGGATTCCTCAGTAAACACACAGACTCCATCTCTCCCTATAGTACTAATAAATAATCAGCTTTGAACTTGGCATCTCTCTGGTGAGGGCCAGGGGAGAAGTGGTGACCTACTACATCCCTTCCTCATACAACTGCTCCTAAGCATTGGTCTAGTGAAGATCAGTTTTTTGCCGGGCTTGTTGTGAGTGCTGTCAGCATTCTTGTTAAGATTCCTCATTTATAACAGTGGATGCAGCTGCACTAAACATTTTTTAAAAAATCCTATTTCTTGATCGGATCCTCTAAAAGTCCATGTCATTCCTAAGTCTGGGTTTGTACAAGGTTACCACCAAGTGGGACCTGCACATCTGAAGCAGGAAGATATTGGGAACAATGAAGAATACAATGAATGTGTTCAGGAGATGTGAGACTAGGTAATAAATACCTGATATTGATAAGTCTGTGGTTTAACAGGAGACAGCCAGGATGGGATATATACTATTCAGGAAGGTTAACCTCATTTGTAAAATATGTTTTGATTTTGGAAGATAAAAGGCAAAATTAAATAGCAATTTCTACCCTAAGTGAAAAACCTCTAGTCAAGAGCAAAATAACGTTTGGACAATGGTCAAGTCTCTTTACCAGGGGATATATTTTTTAGGTCCCACTCAGTGTTTTTAGGTCAGAGTAACAGCTACAAATTAGAAATATATGTTAAAACCAAAGAACAAAATCTGCTCCTAAATTGCTCTGCCTCTAACGTCAGCCAATAAAGTATAAATCAAATTGGGGCTTGAGATGCTAATTCAAGGGGCTCATTAACAAACTGAAGGTGTCTGAAGAAAGGCTCTGCGGGTCTCTTCTGCACCAGCATCCACATGGATGACCTCCTCTCTCACATCAGACACAGAGCTGAAGGATGAGGCTGGGCGGGAGGTCAGCAGGGACACCTTCACAGGATTAACACGCCAGCTTTATTTTTCTTACAACATGGTGGAAATTTAGAAAGCATGCCACAACATGTAAAACCAAATATCTAGAATAAGAATAAAAGTCAGTATGTATCTTTATTTTCCCTATTTGGGAACCTGGATCATTGGGGATTGTACCGTAAGGTACTCTTTTTTTTTCTCCACCCATTCCTGAAAGAGCCAGCAATCAAGCTATTGTTGAGAAACCTGGTTGTACTCATTCATATTACAAAGCACAGAGTGCTGACCCAATTAGCAAAACCATGCACATCAAACAAGGAGCAATAGCGCTTCCTCATCCTTCGTGGGCACCACAGGAATACAAGCATTATTTTACTGTTCAGACATATATAGTCACAGAGCAGCATAAGCCTTCAGTTGATGGACTAGTTTCTTTCAACTTGGTAGAGTTATGGTACAAAAAGAGTCACCTGTTAAATACATAAATGTTTGCCCTTGGGGATATTTTCACACAACACCCAAGATGACTGACTTAGACTCATCAACCTCACCTTCATACTAATTATACTGTAACCAGTGATTACAATCCACATGTGTGCCTGGAGGGTGTGGATGTAGCAATTCTAACAACTTCACATTGTCTCTGACAAGCTAAGGTTTTATCATTGAAATGCTGTTACACTTTGGAATCTGATCTCCCAATGATTGGCATTACCTTCTTGTGTAATTAATATTGTGATGCAGAGCACATGTTTAGATTTTCCCTCTGCTCAAAAACACCTTATCTGCAGGAAATTCATTTCGTTAGAAAAGCAGTTGTAGTCTATCTCCGATATATAGGGTATCCCCCAAAAGGTATACACACACTCTGAATAATTATAAAGGCAGTGTTTATTAAAATACATTTCATTTCAAAACTGAGCTATCAGCTATTAAAGTGCGTACACATTTTTGGGGGACACCCTGTATATAGCCATGACTTGCTTACATGTGTACTCGGTATAAAGACAAAAGAACCATCCTCAAAACATCTGTAAGATTAACACTTCAAACAAAAACACGATTTGAAGAAGCACTTTTGTAGCTTGTTTCAAAAAAAGGACCACAGAACGTACTGCCACAAGCACGCCTCACCAGGAGAAAGCGCTCCATGCCACATCCTAGACAGCAAAAGCTTAATTCCCGACTGAAATTAGCTCGCAGACAACTCAGAGGCAGGAACACTCTGGTCTGTGTGAAAATACAATGAAGGGTGAGATTTCCTTGTGCAGCAGCAAGTGAAGTAGAATTCTGAATCTCTTTTTGGAGTCAGGTTGGTCTATGAAAGAAAATCAATTTGCTTTTAAGAGGTTCTAATCTGGTAGGATGCCAGACGATGGCAAGGGTGGTCACAGTGAGAGCGCTGTATAGACTAAGGGACTGGCAGTTACTGTGGAAAGACAACCTTCTGTTCCAGCAGAGGGTAGTCGAGGGTGTCGGCAAAGCTATTATTACTAATAAAGGCCACCAAGGGTCTAGAGATCAAGAAGCTCTAGCAACACCCAATTATCAGGTACAAAAAATGAACAGCAGGAGGAAAGCAAAAAAAAGAAAGAGAGAGAGAGAGAGAGAGAGAGAGAGAGAGAGAGAGAGAGAGAGAGAGAAACATCAGATTTTTTCATTATATTACTAATTTTTATAACATTAAATAGTTTTTCATTCCAATGCACTGATATTTATTTCTGGTTGTGACCCCACCTACTGTTATTCTCTTTATTTTTAAATTCTACTCTATTTTTCCACTTTTAATTTTAAAAGCATAAACGCTCCAAGGCATAGTGTGAACATGCGTATGTGAGTGTATAGTCTATTAACTTTGGAGACATTACTTTAAAGTAGAAGAGACTGAGATTACAGATTATAATATCACATAAGAAGAGTTTTATACAGTCAATACCTGAGTGCCTGTACAGTGGGGAACTCTAAAGTAACAAGTAAAATACAGTCCAGTGGGCCTGCGCTGTGGCAGTTAAATGACAGGTAACCAGCTTTTTGAAATCTTGAGAAGAAAGGCTCTTTGCCACATGCAAATATTTATAGAAATAATATATTAGAATTACTGAAATAGAATTATTGAAATAACAGAAATGCGTGACCAGCTGTTGACGGCATATATAAATGGGTAGTAAATGTCTATGCTCTATAAATTCAGTGAAATTCCTAATAAAGACTGTAAATTAAATGGCATTTTAAAAAATCATGTACACATTTTATTCCTGCTAAAAATGATAAAACCTTTAAAAATGTGGTGGTTCAAAATAATTTAAGAGTCCTGTACCTTTATGCTTACATGGTTTCAACTAAGCACAGACTTTAGAAGGCATAGCTTCTCTACTAGTATTTTAAAAATTTCTTGATCATTTGATGAGAGAATTTCTCATCAGCCAAAATTAGGTATCAACAGAATTCTTTGACACGTTAACATTACAAGTAGAATTTAAGTTGTACAGCTACACTTTTACATTGTTTTCCTCAGACGGTAATTATGCTTTTGTGATGCTTTTGTGATGCTATTATGTGCATATAATTTATCAGTATTTGTATGTAATGTAGTAAAATTTCATAGAAATCCCTAAGTAATAAAGGTAGTTTTACACATCCTCTAAACCAGGGCTCAGCAAACCACGATCCATGAGTAACACTGGACCTGCTGCCTGTTTTTGTATGATCCAGCAGCTGAAAATGGTCACAGAGGACTATTTCGTGTCAAGATAGTTATGTGATCTTCAAGTTTCAGGGTGGGTCCATATATAAAGTTGAGTTGGCTCACAGCCTCCCCGATCTTTTTCCTTATTGTCTGTGGCTGCTTTCTGCTATGATGGCAGTTACGTAGTATGATGGAGACTATAGGGCTTGCAAAGGACACGATATTCACTATCAGGCCTTCACAGAAATAGTTCGCTGGTCCCTACTCAAAGCCTATGGGAGGCGTCTGGATGCGGGATGGAGTGTATCCAGTGGACTCAGTGTATGACTTATTTTGGCTTCATTTACAGGCATTATGTACATCATTGCTTTTGAGTATTATCATCTTCCTTGGTAAACAAAAATAAAGTTAGATGAAGAAAAAACTTATTTCCTTGAAATGTTTAGGACCAGCAAAACAATCATATATAAAAGCAGTATATTTTTTAAAGAAAAAATCATAAACGAACAGTTTACATTACATTTTTAAGTAACAATTCCACGGTTTCCCAGAGAATGCCAGACAGTGAAGGGCAGATCCCAAAATCCTTATATCAAATTTCTAGTTTTCAAATTTCTGGGATATAGTGCTTATACAGTATTTGAGATTCTCAATTGTTATGGAGTCATTGTGGAAACTTACTTATCAAAAAGAAAGATATTTTAAGACAAGAAACGGGTAAAAAAAATAAAAAGAATGGCAAACAATTCAAACGTTTTTTTTCCTTTTCCATTAATAGGGAGCTACATAGTCTGCTGGTGTAGGACTTGATAGAAATTGTCTGTTTTCATTTAGTGGGCTGATTGCCATATCTGTGTCAGATAAAATCATAGCACGTATTACTTGTTACCATGGATACCATGAAGATACTGCCATCCACTAAATAGTATTAGAGGAAGACAACATAATTTTCTGGGACTAGTCCTGTTTTGCCTTCATAAGTTGCCTTCAACCATCCTGGTTCCACTGATGGGTACACTAGAAAAAAAAAAAAAAAAAGTTAATGTGACTCACTCAGGCATTAGCTTCAAATAATTATATACACAAATGGGTAAGAATCCACCCACATCAGACTGCAATCAGACTGCATGAATCCACAAAACAATGTCACAGCTTCTTTCAAGATGGAAATGTCCTTTGCATTCTTATAATCAATCAGCCAATTTCTCCCATCCTCCCTCCACCCTAGATCCCGAGCTTCCCCCCCTCCCCGAGACCCTCCCCCCAGCCCCCCCGACCCCCCCGCCACCACACACACACACTCACAAACATATAGGGGAGGAAGTTGGGGCCCAGAGGAATCTGATGTGTTCATTGGTGCAGGTCATGAAGGGTAGGGCCTCACTAAATTCTGAGTCTCCTGGCTTCCACTTTAGACTCTGATCTCTACAAGATTCCTTAATGGGGGGCACTGGGTGCACTTACCATTAGAAAAGAGCGCCCCCTGTGGGAAGGAGAGCTCGTGGCTGTGCTCTGCTTGACAGGAGTACATGGCTTTGGCTTGGCTGAAAGAGTAAAAGGCGAGTTGTAAAAACCACAACTCAAAATAAATACATGTCTAGTTCAAATTATCTTAAAAATTATATTAGTTTCTAGTTGTAATCGGATAATAATATACACAAAAGGCACATGTAAGTGTGCAAAGTGCATTTTCCACAAACTGAACACAGGTATGTGATCAGAAAATATGGAAAGCAAACCAAAAGCTCATCTAATGTTTGCAGGCAATGCCTCCATGTGTAACCACAGCCTAAGTTTGTTTTAAAGAATGCCATTATTTAATTGTTGGTAAATAGGCTGTTTTTGCAGCTATACCCTAAAGCTTTTTTTCCCTCCACTTTAATTTCAGATTAGCAGAGGTGAGATCCCCAAATTAAAATGTCTACAAAGTATAGTAAATGAGTTAAATAAGCATAAGTTGATAGTAAATGGCCAACAATAGTGGCCTCCTTGTCAGGGCGATGATGGGGACAGATAGAGGCTTTGCAAAGCAGGGGGAATACCCATCTCTTAGGTAGGGAAGCCAACACTCAGCTCCCAACAGCTGGACCATATGGGAATTCAGGTTCCATACAGCCACATACTCTGGTTTCCCAAGAGAAGCCAGAATTTCAGAGTTTTCTGTGAGTTCTATTTAAAAGCACTTGAGCCAACACTAAAAGGCCATCATCATCTGAGGCCGCTAATCAAACTCTGCAACATCCATTTACTTTGGTAAGACGGGAACTCCTCCCGGCTCCACTTACTTCTCAGCATCTCCACCACCACGTCCATGCCAAAATCATGTGTGGTGTGACTCACTGACTGGCTTCCCACCACCCTAAATCTTCTAGGCTTCCCGTTCTGTCGCCTTGCGATCTATTCTCTACAGGGGAGCCAGAGGACAGTTTGGAAAAGGTTCTGAAGATCATGCTATTTCCCAGAGAACAACCCTCTAATGCAGCGGTTCTCAACCTGTGGGTCACAACCCCTGTGGTGGTCGAACGACCCTTTCACAGGGGTCGCCTAAGACCATCCTGCATATCAGATATTTACATTATGATTCATAACAGTAGCAACATTACAGTTCTGAAGTAGCAACGAAAATAATTTTATGGTTGGGTCACAACATGAGGAACTGTATTTACAGGGCCAGAAGGTTGAGAACCACTGCTCTAATGGGTGACCAACTCTAGCTCCATTCCATGCACAATCAGGTGTCTGTCAGTTCTCTTGCCTCTGTTCACCTGCTGGGCTCCCATCCCCCTAGCCCAGTGATGGCGAACCTTTTGAGCTCTGCGTGTCAGCATTTTGAAAAACCCTAACTTAACTCTGGTGCCGTGTCACATATAGAAATTGTTTGATATTTGCAACCATAGTAAAACAAAGACTTATATTTTTGATATGTATTTTATATATTTAAATGCCATTTAACAAAGAAAAATCAACCAAAAAAAATGAGTTCGCGTGTCAGAGGTGATGTCGTAGGTTCACCATCACTGCCCTAGCCCTTTCACCTTCTCAAACATGCCAAACTCATCCCCGCTCAGGCCAGCTGAGCCCTGGCTCTTTGATGTTTTCCTCTTGATCCTCAGGGGCTATGCACTTCTGTTCCTCTTAAATTCCCTGAGCTTTGCTGAAGGTCATGTCTTCCCTGCGCACACTCTAAAACAGCTGCCCCGGCAATTACCAGACCCTCAGAAGACTGCACAGCAGCAATATCTGTTAGTCCGTTATCTTCTCTTCTAATCGGAATGTAACCTCCATGAGCTATGCCTGAAGCCTGGTAGTAAAACTCATTAAATATTTCTTGAAGAAATGAGTAGGAAAAAAAAGAAGAGGGTGAGGGGGGGCGAGGAATGCTTTGGGCTCTTTTTCTACGTGAGGAGTCCTTTTCAACAGTCAAGGCGCCCTTGTCTCTCTTTTTTGGCTCCAGCACTTTATCAGTAGATAAGCATCAGCAGGACTTGTCACGCAGATGTCTTAAAGCACCAGTGTTACATGATTTCTTTTCCCCGTTGGAGCCTGACCTTGAGTCTAACGTCTACACTTCCAGGGGAGCGTAGGTCATTGAGACCAGGGTTCCCAAATGGATATCTGAAGACTGGAAAGCTTATGGAGGAAAACTCCGGCCCTGCCCCCAGCATCGGCTTCATAGGAGGTGAGGCTCAGGCTGTACTTTAGAAAGTTGGCTAGGGGAGCCCGCAGCAGCCAGGCGGGGCAATGACCACCAGCCCACATCCCAGTGAAACGTGGCTTCATTAAGGGAGAACTGAGGAATGCAGGCACCCAGAGAAGACAGGGCACTGCCCTAAAGAAGAGCTGTGTGTGCGTGTGTGCACGCATGCGTGTCGGCATGCACATGGGTGTGCTGGTTGACATGGGTGGGAGGTGGGGGTAGAGGATGCTGCCAAGTCCTTAAGACTTCTAAGAATCAGAAGAAGGTAATCTCAAGTAGGAAAAAATATTAGTTTTTTTCCTATTAACCTTCTAGTCAAATATAATCATTTGATCCGATATATGGTATAATTAAGGGTTGTAGAGCCATGTCTTTAAAAATATGTAAATATTTTATAAGAATTCAAATTTCCTAACAGTAGCAATTTCCTCCAATGGACACAAAGTCTTATTGCTTTGAGTCCTTAATATAAATTAAAAGATGCATAAGGAAACAACGTCCAGAGTTATAGAAATGATTAAGGTATGACAATACTTACAATATTATAATTTTTGAAAGAGCACTTGAAAAGGCAACTAAACTATTTTTATTAATGCTTCAGCCATTTGATAAGATTACGTGGCGGGAGGAGGCAAGCAGAATAATTATATCACGAAATAAATGGATATTGTTAAATGTGTCAAAAATACACAGTACAAAAAATACTTGTCATGACTTCTCAATTATCTGTGCGTGTGTCTAGACAGGTGTAATTTTCTCTGCCGAGCTCCGTAACTGCAGGTGTTAACTCAGCAGAGAGCTCTCATGATTTAATGCAGATTTCTGTGGCAGTGAAGTTTCCTCTCCAAGGGCTAATGCTGCCTCTGTTACTGCCTCAGTGCACTGAAGAGGATGCGAAATAACACTGTCAGCCACCAAGTCTCTCTTCAGAAGCGTCTAACATCCTTTGCAAAGGATTCTGAAATCCCTGCTTCTTCGTGCATGGCAGAGTAAGATAATAACATCTACTGTCCTGAAAGCCATTTCTTCCCTCTTCCTGTGGAAGGTGACCTGACCACAAGTCCCAGTCCAATGCCAAATGCTGCCTAATGCTGATGGCCAGATTTACAAACGTTTGATAGGGTCAATGCTTACTTAACTATAAGCAAAATAAAAAAGTCACCAAAAAGAAACTGATACGGTGTTTTCTGAAGAGTCACTTAACAATGACACACACACACACACACACACACACGCACGCACACTCACGCACACACACAGACACGCACACACACACGCACACACGCACACACACACATGCACTCCCTCACACTTTCTGGTTGCTGAGAATTTCACTGCTGAAAGAAGTGGACATGCACACAGATAATATTTTTTTTAAATCCCAAGAAGTAAGATATGTCTGAGGGGTGAAAACCAGTGTCCTCTTCCAATGGTCTCCTTGACTTTTTGCAGCTTCTACCATGTTGATGATACCTGTTCCTTCTGATCATTCCTTCACATTGCTCTTTGCTAGACCTTTAAACGAAACCATTCCCCAAAGACCAATCAATGCTCAGGCATTTTTCCTGTACACTCAGCAAGCCCCACCTTCATCTACACAGAGAAACTGAGAAGTCTCTCAAATGGCAAACTCCACACCGTCTACCAGCTTCTCAATGTAACTCAGGCTCCTCAAACATTGTGGCCAGAACTTTCCTCTCTTCCATGTAATCACAGGCTGAGACCAGAAACTAAACTGCCATTGTTTCTGACACTCAGTCTCAAAGACCTGGAATCTTCATTCCCAGTATCAAAGCAGTTGCCAAATCCTGATCCTATCCATAAAGTTCTCCTTATTGCTTTTCATGCTTTTGTTACTGCTCTGTGTAAGACCTTTAAATCTGACCAATTCCATCCTACATGGTTGACTGTACTCTCCTCTTCACAACTCCTAGAAAATCCACTTGGAATGATCTGTTGGGTGTATCACTGATTAGATCACCCCTTTACTCAATGACTCCCAACGCGCCTGTGGGGGCTCCCAGAGATGTTACTTTTCTGTTGCTCAGGATCATGCATTAGAACAGCGGTTCTCAACCTGTGGGTCGCGACCCCTTTGGGGGTCGAATGACCCTTTCACAGGGGTTGCCTAAGACCATCGGAAAGCACATATATAATGACATACTGTTTTTGTGATTAATCACTATGCTTTAATTATGTTCAATTTGTAACAATGAAATTGGGGGTCACCACAACATGAGAAACTGTATTAAAGGGTGGTGGCATTAGGAAGGTTGAGAACCACTGCACTAGAATCTCCTTATGGGTCTCTTCCACAAACATAACTAGTCTTCCTACTACTTACTACTGGTTCTAGCATTCTTCAAGGTCCAATTCTAGGGTTACCCTGAGTTCCCTAGAAGGACCAGGAAATAAGCACTGTAGGAGCTTAGTAAGGGAAATGCTTTCAACTTTCTGTTGTTCAGCTATATTGAATGGTACCAAAAAGTACCAGGTAACTGTTAAAGAGTTAATGTTTAAGTATTATCAATATGTTAATTAGAAGCTTGAGTAGCGGCAGTAGTTTCAATAAAGATTATCATAACAATAAGTTGTTATTGTAAAGATCATCTGTGGAGAACTTGCCAAATAGATTGCTTTGTATTTGAAATTTACAACAACTAGGCAAAAACAGAATTGTGACTTTCATTTTATAGAGACAATAGATTTCTTCTGTAACTCCAAGGTTATACACATAGGGAGTGGTGGGACCAAGAATTGAATGTGAAGTCCACTGTGTTCCTGGGTCCCTGTCTCTTGGTGAAAAGTTACATGGTCCACAGTGCTGTTGACAAAGACCGTGATTGCTGACCGTCATCAGAAGTTGATTTATAGCAGTATTTAGAATGTAAAAGCATATTAAAAATGCACAGACTGATTGTTGAACATTTGAGGATATCTTTATGATACGACAGCATTATGATTTACTTCCATAGCTTGCTGTTTTAAAGCTCTGTGGGATCATCTCTGATTACAGGACTTGAGTTATCTGTTTAGAGCTTCCTAATAAAAGGGCTCCATCTAGTGGAGCAATTCAGCCATGTAGCTGCACAGACAAGTAGCAAGGTTAAATCCCTCCCACTAAGGCCTAAAAATGATGACAGTTTCAGAGATAAATGACATTGGCTCTGACAGGCACGTGCCTAGTCTTCACCATGCCTTGATAAAGAAGGAAGAAGTTAAAGATGCTAAGCAGAGGTAAGATCCATGCGAACAGTCTGCAATCTGCCATATGAATGCAATGCACCGACCAACATCCTTGAAAGATACCAACTCTGGGGACTTTAAAGCACTAATATGTGAGGGCCTTTCTAGGCTTTGGAAACAATAGCAACAACAACAATAAAACGGCTTCTAGAAAAAGTTCTATCATTTCAAAGTCAGGTATATATTTTTGAAAAATTTCCACAAACTGTTACCAAAGGAGTCTTTGGTGTGCAAAGGGTTAAAGCAACTTGTGTCTTCTGGAAGACCTGTTTTTTTAGAACTCTTCCTTTATGAAGATTTTAGCAGATGAAGCATCACCCTCACAGTCTAAGACACTAAGTGCTGTTCTCAGACATGACCTCTTCCCCACGAAGAGACAGTGAATGTGAACTTGACCATCTGCAGAATTGGGGGCAGAGCTGTCAAAGAAGACCCACCATGTCCACACAAGGCAACAACCTCACCACTATTTTATTTATTATTTTTTACTTTGTTTTGAAGACTTACCGCCCAGAAGAAACTGGCTTAACTGAACCAACATTTTCAAACAGTTGGGCTTTCGCTGCCACACTGAAAAATAATTTGACAATGCAAGTTTCATTAAATCAATTAGAAAATCATTCAGCTCAAAATGAAATTCAGAGTTATCACTTAATCAAAACAAAAGTGATTACTTAAGAACTGTCCCTAAAATTTGACCTGAGTTTTCATTGTTTTAAGGTTTAACGTGGGAGAAAGTTTCAGCTCTGATCTCCAGCTCATGGAGTATCAAATTGTAATAAACCTAAAGCTAACCTTTCTGGGGATCTTGCTGTCCTCATTTTTTCTACCTCATAAAAGTGGCAGCAGTAAAAAGGAGCATTTTCTCCCTACTTTGCTCCAGGCAACAATAGTATAGACTGATGTAAAGCCACAGAGAAAAATCAAATCTACATGACAAAAGAATTGTTCATTCTGATGGATAAGACAAAACTACTTCGTGTATCCTTTAATATGTGAACACAGCTCCCATAATATAGGAAGAGATAACTCTGAAAATATGGCCAATAAATAAATTTGTGGAATCAAATCTTGTTTCAAATCTTGGGGGAGGAGGGGCATGGTCTGTAAAGAGGTGATAAAATTAGGTAGAGGGTGAAAAAAATGAAAACTAAGCCACCTTCAGTAATTAGAAATGTTTCTAGCTATACCAGAGGAGATATCAAATTCCTTGGTATTCTAGATTTTTAAAATCTATTTTATTTCTTTGAAAAATTCTCTCAGAACCTGACAGAATGTACGCTCTCTCATCAATCTCATCTTTTACTATCAGTAAATAACAAAACAGAAGCTCTTCTCTTTCCCTCACAAAGGATGGAGTTTATATTTTCCCATCTCCCTTGACATATTGGCTTAAAATTTAATTTCCTTAGTGGCTACAGGGGTAGGCAAACTTTTTGACTCGAGGGCCATAATGGGTTCTTAAACTGGACCGGAGGGCCGGAACAAAAGCATGGATGGAGTGTTTGTGTGAACTAATATAAATTCAAAGTAAACATCATTACATAAAAGGGTACGGTCTTTTTTGTTTTGTTTTGTTTTTTTTAGTTTTATTCATTTCAAGCAGGCTGGATCTGGCCCGCGGGCCGTAGTTTGCCCACGGCTGGGCTAGAACCACACACACTAGGGAGCAGATAGATTTACCAATATACGTGTCTATATCATGGCAGTTAAATGTCTGACCCAGAGAGATAATATGTGTTAAACACACTCTGAAACCAAAAGGTTTGTGTCGGAGAAAGGGAGGAACAAATGAATTTAAGACACTTTGTATGGAAACAATCTCAGTAAAATGTCTTACTGGACTTTTGAGGGAAAATTTAAATGTCAGAAATCCCACAATATTGAACATGGGCATAGTATAGTATGTAGAGCACAGATTCAAGCCAGGAACCCTGGGTTAGGATCCCAGCTCTACACTTACTAGCTGAGGGTATGTGGATTGGTTCCTTAAATTCTCTTTTTAAAATTATAGCAGTATTTTTAATTGAAGTAACTCGATATGCAATATTGTGAAATCCTTAAATTTTCTGAGTATCAATTCCCATCATCTCTAAAATGAGGTTTATACAACCCACTGGATACAGTGGACGATAACATGTGTCAGGGGGCCTAGTGAGAGCCAATACAGCACTTGGAAAGGCTCAGCAAAAGCCTCTCTGGATTTTGTTTGTTTATGCAGGTTCCGATTTTCTCCTCTTTGACCCCCTTTCTGCTCACATCTATGTGCCCTACCCTACCTTCTCAGTCTACACTCCTGGGTCGTTTCTTTTGATTAAAAGGACTGACTTCTTTTGCCTATCAAAGTTCCTTATTGTCTAAGAGCTTGTTTAAATCAGTGAGTTCTCAGACAGGAGACATATGACCAGGAGAAGAGAAAGCCAACCTTCACAGCCAGAAAGCAGTTTATTTCTAACAGAAAGGTTGGGCGGGGGGAGGAGGACTGTCATCTGGGCCTGGCACCACAGTCTCCTCAGCTGACAAGTTGATGTTCAGCTTTTATAGGAAGGTTTCTAGCTTTGGAGCCCATAGCTACTCTATTATACATCTACTAGAGGCCTGGTGCACGATATTCATGCACTGGGGTGGGGGGGTGGGGAGGGCTGGGTCCCTTAGCCAGGCCTGTGCCCTCTCGCAGTCTGGGACCCCTCACTCCTTACCGCCCACTTGCTCGCTGCTCCTTACCGCTTGGCTCACTGCTCCTTCCTTAGTGCTGCCACGGAGGCAGCAGGAGAGACTCCTGCCACCTCTGCTGCCATGAGCCCAGCTTCTGGCTGAGCAGAACTCCCCTTGCGGGAGTGCACAGACCACCAGGGGGCAGCTCCTGCGTTGAGTGTCTGACCCCTGGTGGTCAATGCGCATCATAGCAACTGGTTGTTCTGGTCGTTCTGCCATAATGGTCGCTTAGGCTTTTATGATATAGATTTTCATGTCCTTAAATTAAGCCATAGTCCTGCCTCTAAGGAAAGTACTTGATGTGCCTGCTCATGAGTAGTTTATATATATCCTAAGGCTACTGTAGCTTCCACATCACATTTAGAAGAGAGCAGGGTCCTACAGAAGTTGGCTATATCCACTCTCCAGATGAGACATTCAGTGGTGGAAGCGCCAAGGGCTCCGCTGGACACCTCAGCCCCATGCACCCCCTGGCAGACCCAGCAAACTCACTCTCACTTACATGGAGCCCGGTCGCTGGTAGCCGTTGCTCGAGGCAGTGTCTAGCCTTAACCTCCTGCACATTTTTGGAGGCAGGTCTGGGTTTGGTGGGGCTTTAGGCATCTCTTTGGAACCTATGGAAGTTAAGCTTTGAGTGGAACCGCTATAGCTCTTGTTTCCTAGAAAAGAAAACCCAAAAGAAAAACAGGCAAGGTGTTATTAGACAAAATAATAGCAATAACACAGCCCATGCGCGTAACAAAAGGAAGCATTCTTCTTTGAGCCCAAATGAGACGGTACAGAATGTTCCTCAGCACGGCTGCCCATCACCCAGGGAGATCAGAATCGACAGCAATTACAAAGACATCACCTCACGGAGATAGAGAGAGCCAGGGGAAAAGTCTCAGCGCAGAGGAGTCTGAAAAATCCCAGCTCAGGAACAAACTAGATAAGCATCATTCGTTTCTGCCCCATTAACTTCTCCCTTGATTAATCACGCGGAACAACCCGGCAAGTGGCACGGAGATAACGACATCTTGCGTAAGCTCCACTCTGGCTCACCTTCAGCTGCAGCGAGGGACCTGAGGAAGGTAGCTGAGGCTCTTTTCTGTCCTGAAGTCCCATGAGACCCTTTCTTGGCCAGGTCTATGCGTGGAGAAACGTCCCCTGGGCTGGTGACGGAGGCCACGCTCTGGCAATCTGATTCTGCATCCGTTTTGGTTGCATCTTCTCTAGAACTGGATTCAGGACTAGTTGTCCAGAGACCAAGACTTTTCTGTCCATTGGACGGTGACGGGGATGCAATCCAGGGAATCCCTCCGGACTTCTCCCTGGGCTGGCAGGAGGCGGACTTTGTCGTGCTGTTTTGTTCAGAGGAGTGAGAGGAGAGGGACTCAATGCTCCCCATGGGTGTGCTGGCTGGGCTGCTGCTGTAGGAGTCGCCTGAGCAGGAGCGGGAGAGAGGAAAGGACAGAGGCTCTCTGTTGAGAACAGCACCGCCAAAACCCTTCCATTCTCCAACCCACACAGGGCTTGTGGCCACCGGATCCCACCAAAGTGATGGGCCTTCACCTGGCATGGAGAACTGTCCTCACTACTGGAGACAGCCTTTAAGAGATGCTTTTGAACTTGGTGAATGCATTTTTCAATACTATTCAAGGGGGATTTTATATGTGCCCTGCCCCTGTGAAATGATGTTACTCCTTACACCATGAGTGGGCAGACCTGAATTCAGACAAAATTCTGAAACAGGACTCACAAGTAAGAAAAATGATTCCATGATGATATTACAAAACAATCAATGAAAGGGATATTAAAGACATATTTCTGCCTTTTTTTTTTTTTTTTTACTTTTCTGATCTTAGGTGGTTCTGAACTACAATGCATCCGAGTCCTCCTCTATTCAAAGGCACCGTCAAATGTCAGCTGCAAATTACAAGCTGCTCTCAATTTACAAGAGAGGACTTTTTGCATTTCCTGTTAAGAATATAGCAATGCAAGAAACTGGCTGTTTAATTGGGTGTATTTTTTAATGTTCCTAAAAGTAAGGTATACGAAAAAAAAAATCAGAGAAACTGTAATGAAGTGTTCAAATATGTCTAAATTAAAAAGTAGTGCTTTCTATTAAATATTGATTGTGGAAAAATTGGGGGGTGTAGAGGTAATAAATAAAATGAAAATGGCCAGTTTAACACATCTTATGGGCTCAAGCTGCCTCCACCTCATCTTGGGGCCTGGCTCAGAACAGTAAGTTAGTGATAATGTGTGGTTTAGTTTCTCTTATTTCTTTTCTTTCTCTCTTTGAGATACTTTGATACCCAAGAGATGATGCTTTAAGAACATAATGTGAGAGGAAGAAAGAAAATGCTTCGGCCAGTCTTTCTCTGGCTTTCTTCTCTACACTCTGACAATAGAACAAAAGCTTCCACAAAGTAGCACCTCATGTACTTAATCACAGTTGCAGGAAAAAAGGTGGTGGTGGTGGGGGGAGCATTGAGCAAACTAATTATTTCCTTTGTAACGGTAATAAATTTGCTTGTCCAAAGTACCTTGCAACTCTACTGATAGAGAACATACAAATGTTGGAGGTGGGGAGGTTTTGGGGTGATAGCATCAGTGAGAACCACTTCTATTTCTACCTAATTAGCGGCAGAAAGGCTGGATTAAAGAATGGAGAAAGCCTCTCCCCAAGGCCGGCCCACTTACTGTCAGGTTCTGCCAAGCACGGAGTGTACCTCCCTCTGGGCTTCCGGGAGCCTGTGGAGAGGCAGATTGCACGTGTCCTTCGGGATCCAGACCGCGACTGAGGCTGAGGAAGAGGGATGCTTGGGTCTGGGGCGGTGTGAAAAATCTACCCGGAAGAACAATGGGCCACAGTTAACAAAAGGGTGAAATTGCCAATTTCATCATAAAAGAAGCTTTGAGACTTATATGCTACTGAATCTTAGAATTCTATGCTACTTCATCAGTTGTATGCAAGAGATGCTTGATACCATAAAATAAATAAAGTGAATCCCAGAATAATTATAAACTTTCTTTCCCATTTACACTGAGTAACGTTTCTTCTCTGGGTTTTCCTTTTTTATGCTTCCCCAACAGTGACGTTCAGATTTCCCAATAATTTTAAGAAACCTTTCAAATAGGAACAAATGTCAGTGTTGAGACACATGGATTCTTTCGTGTGATAACTGTCTTTCCCCCTTCATGCTAAACATAGCCTTTGGGTTGTACCATTTCCCCAGCAGAATGGACCCACTTCTTAGGAGAAGGGGCCGACATGCTGCTGGTTCTGATGGTCAAGAAATGTGCCAGGTCTGAGCACAGCTACAGGAGGCAGCAGGTGCTCCTTGGTTGTGAGGAAGCCTCCAGCCTTAGGTAGGTACTAGGGAGGGACCCGGGGCAGGAGAGAGGCACAGTCATTCTCTCACAAGGACTAGATCTGACACAAAGGTATCAAAAAATATTTAGAACTTAAATGGTTGAATTTGTTAATAACGCAATCAATTTGGCTTCCCCAATTTCCAATTTCCAATTTCCATAGTTATTCGAAGATCCCATTCTTATAAAGTCACCCTCCCGGGGGACTGGATAGAGAAGACTTCAAGACTCTGTTCCAGATTTTTTTCTTTGGTTTTATTTAGAATATCACCTCTGCTGTATAATTAAGAGTCTAATCCCAGAGAGATTAAAAGGTTAAAATAGATTTAACTACAAAGTTATTCTAAAGTATTATCTGAATATGTGCAAAAACCTGATTATATAAGTGCTGTGGAAGAAAATCTTTAAAGGTAAATGATGGAGAAGGAAAGGAGACCATCTGGCCAGAAGGTTTTGAGGAGGATTTAAAAACTGAACAAGATAAAGGAATATCAGAGTCCTCACGAAGAACTAATTTATACAAAATTTACAAGACTGACATTATAAGAATCTGACTTCACAATGTGAAGCTCACAGATGATGCAAATGAAAAATCGAGATGATACGAATGCAACATACAAAATTTGATACTTCCATTTGAAAATTCAGCCTACCTTTTCATAGTGCTCTATCAGAATTTCAACCACAATATTCTGAAACTTAATATTCATCATAGCAGCCACAGTTTCTTCCTGTGCTCTCATGAGAGTTGGGCCAAATATGACACCGAGGTTTGAGACAGTCATGAGATTTTGTTGGCTATGTAGTGATACTCTGCAAACAAGAGCAACAAAAATATCTTAAGTTAAACGTTTAGTAATTATAAAATGTTCTCAACTACCAAATTCGTGACATAAATAAAATGTAAAACATTCCATTACAGGCTAATTTTTCCAAATAATCAGGTTCAGTCACTTGCAATTGGCATTAATGAGTATAGCCAAAAATGACATAAAAAGTTAACATAGCCAAAGTAAAACATAATTACAAAAGATAATATATTGAAGAGGAAAAATTTTGATTTCGTGAGTACAATCACCCTAAAGAGATAGATTATTGACCCTTTGGTATTTTCTACAGTGCTATACTTCTTTTAGAACAGATGGTTTAGAGTAGGCTGGTTGTAATTTTATTTGGATTCACCAAACATACTAGTATTATTGAAAATCTACTGCCATTGCATTTAATCTTCCCAGGAAGTCAGGTTTTCCTATTGTATAGGTAAAAAAAAAAAAAAAAAAAGCTCCTAAAGTAAAAATGATGTATTTGAGGTCACAGCAAATTAGGAATAGAGATATTTGAATTTAGGTCTCCTGAATACAAGTCAAAGGCTTCCTTGAGCTCCCCACATAAGACAACTGGCCAGTGCGTTTCTATCCTTCCTTCTTTTCTTCCAACCATCTTTCTAAGGCAGCGGTTCTCAACCTGTGGGTTGCGACCATCGGAAAATAGTATATCAAATATTTACATTACGATTCATAACAGTAGCAAAATTACAGTTATGAAGTAGCAACGAAAATAATTTTATGGTTGGGGGTCACCACAACATGAGGAACTGAATTAAAGGGTCGCAGCATTAGGAAGGTTGAGAACCACTGTAAGGCTTCCCTGAGTGTTTCTGTAGTGCTGGCCACTGTGCTGGCAAACAGTAAGAAGAGGAAACGGGAAGAGGAAATAGGAAGAGTAAATCAGTGCTGGAAATGAAACAAAAAGCCTGTAATTATTGACCTCACCAAAGTAATCTTGGTAGCTATCAAAGATGACTCTGACTAATTAACTAATTTGGAAACTGGATATGTTCTTAAGAGGAAAAGAAACCTCATTCATTTGACCACTCTCTCTCCTAGGTTAACCACTACCTTTCCTCTGTTACTTCCAGCCAGGTTTTTAGATTGGAAAGTTCCAGGAAGGAACGTAACACACAAGATTATATTTAAATCTGCATATGCATCACTAACTACATCCTAAAACCAAAAGTAAACTGTTATGGGGAATCCAGGATGTTGGGTTACCCACGCAATTCCTAGTATAGGACAGGACATGTCCCACTGAATGAAATGTCCCCTGTGCCCAAGAGAGAACTATCTAAGAAGACTCTTGGTTAGACCCAGAAGAGTCTCATTTCAAGTTTCCTTCTTGTATAACCCAATATTACATATTGATTATGTAATATATATTAAACAATGTACTAAGAAAGTAGTCTGCAAAGACAGTGAGTCTATCTGGAATCAAAGCATGGATCCATCCAACTTGGAAGTGGGGTGTAGTCAGCCTAGTTATTTAATATCTTTAGGCTTCAGTTTCCTCATCTAGTAAGTATAGCAACCCTTATAAATGAAATAATCAATTAAATTAAGTGAAATAAGATCTCAAAATAATATCCTTCCTGTAATTAAATTGGCTTTAGGAACTACTGCTAAAATATAAAAGTTCTTGGTAGTGTAAGTAAACTGGACAATGATTAATATTAAGCTCACTGGAAATACATTTAGAAATCCTAAAAATGTGCTCTATTTTGAAAAGGAGAGTTGATGACTATGTCAGAAGAGACAGAATATTCTGAAGACCAATTTACTCTTCACTGAATTTTCCGTCTGCTGGGCTCCTGAGTTAACACAGACCCTTCTCACCCACATTTCATCCATTTCTGCACCTTACTCCCTCAACTCCTATAGGTAACAGACATCCAATTGCACTTCTGAATATTTAAAGTTAGAATCAAAGAAGAACCACAGATGGCCTTGTTTTAAGAAGGAAAAAAAAGGATCCTCAGAAAAGAAGTAATCCTATATAATAAAAGCATAATATGCAAATTGTCCCCTTGACTGGGAGTTCGACCAGGGGGCGGGGCTGGCTGGCCAGCTGAGGGAAGGGAGGCCTCGGCCAGTGGCAGGCAGCCAGGGGGAAGGGAGGTCCCAGCCGGCAGCCAGCAGCTACTAGGGATCCTACCCATGCACGAACTTCGTGCACTGAGCATCCAGTGATTTATATAACATCTCTGAGCTAATTAATGGAGATTTGGAATTAGTCATTAAGTTGTTCCTTTAGGCCAGTGACTAATCCAGGTCACAGGTCTTAATTTTTTCTTAAGCCACATAAGGTTGCTAGGGACCAAGAGTGTTGTTAGTTGTTTATAGTTTACCCATGTCATAAGGTTGCCAGGGACCAAGAGTGTTATCAGTTGTTTACAATTTACTTAAGTCATTAGAACACACATTTTACTATACAAAAAAACACTAAATAGAAAAGATGCATGCACTCCCATGTTCACTGTACACTATTTACAGTAGCCAAGGCATGAAGACAACCGAAGTGTCCACTGATGGATGAGCAAATAAAGAAATTATGGTATGTATCAACAATGGAATTTTACCCAGGCATAAAAAAGAATGAAATTTTGCCATTTATGAAAATATGGAGGGATCCCAAGAGCATTATGCTGAAAATGAAATAAGTCAGACAGAGAAAGACAAACACCATATGATCTCCCTCATATGTGGAATGTTAAAGAACAACAACAACAAAAAACACACAAAAAGCTCACAGATATAGAGAACAGATTGGTGGTTGTAAGAGGATGTGGGGTCAGGTGTGGGGAAAATGTGTGAACTATTGTCTTCTAATTAAATAAAATATTTTTTAAAAATAGACACTTTATAAAAGTAGTTTCAAAAAGTCAATAAACAAAAAAACAGAGAAAGAAAAATAAAGAAAAGAGCCAGGAATGGTGGTGAAGGATGAACAAGGGAATTTTAAGCACTTTTCTAAGGCCAGATACCTTGTCCTGCTATTCCTTGTTATCAAAATAACACACATTCAAATTAAGGGTGAAGCTTGTGTTCATCTAATACTCTGGGTAATTAAGCAACGACATTCATGTCAATTTAAAAAACACACACAAAAAAACTTTACTAGAAAAATAGCTTGAATACAACAAGAGAATGACCAATAAATACAGTGTGGTTAAATTTCATAAAGAGGTTATACACAATTCAAAAACATAATTTAAGACTAATTCAGACCAAGGATGAGTCCTTGTTCATTAGCAATAAAGGTATTGCCATAGGCAACAGTTAACAATGAACTTGAAATTATGCCATTCCAAGTGGATTCCTACGGGGGAATTTAATATTATCTCAAAGCCTGCACATTGAGAGTTATTAATATGTTATGTAACACTATTTCAAATGTGCATGGCTAAAATTAGCATAAATTGGGTTATTACTTCTAGCAAACAAGGAAGGGATTAATTATTTGATTATGAATCATGGTATTCATTAAGATGGAAAATGTCTTTTTAACAGTCTTTGCAACAGTGTGGATGGACCTGCAGAACATTATGCTAAGTGAAATAAGCCAGTCAGAGAAAGACAAGTAGCATATTATTTCACTCATATGGAATCTAATGAACAAAATGAACTAACAAGCAAAATAGAGACAGACTCGTAGGTACAGAGTAGTCAGACAGCTCTGGTGGTGGTGGCCGGGTGTTAGGTGTATATGTGAAGGGATTGAGCAAAAAAGAAAGAGAAAGAATTCATGGACACAGATAACAGTGTGGTGACTGTGGGGGGAGGGGGGAGGGCAGGGGGAGGTGAAAGAGGGTATACGGGGGATAAATGTTGATAGAAACAAAACAAATTAAATAAATTAGAAAAAGTGAAAGAAATGGTAAGGGGATTCGGAAATATGTTTAAAATGTGAATTTTAACAAAAACTTTTGTTTTGTTTCCAGCAGCATAGCAAATAAACTTCTGGATTAAGAGAGAGAGAGAGAGAGAGATAGAGAGAGAGGAGAGAGACTCAACTTCTAGATAGATATGTGATGGTTAATTTTATGGCCAAATTTGTGACACCATGGTGCCCACATGTTTGATCAAATATAATTCCAGCTGTTTCTGCGAAGGCATTTTTCTTCTTATACAAGATTAACATTTAAATCAGTAGACTCTGAGTAAAGCAGATTACCCTCCATAACTTGGGTGGGCTTCATCCAATCAATTGAAGGTCTTAAGAGAAAAAGAGTAGGTCCCCTGAGAAAGAGGCATTCGGTCTCTGGGCTGCCTTGGACTCCAGCTGCAAAATCAACCCTTCCTGGGTCTCCAGCCTGAAGGCCTGCCCTGCAGGCATCAGGCTTACCAGCCTCCCAATCATGTAAGCCAATTCCTTGCAATCAATCCATCTCTTTCATATACATACACATACACACATGCATATAGGTATCTATAATAATAAAAGCGTAATATGCTAATTAGACTGGACGTCCTTCCGGATGACCTTCTGGATGAAGCCAGGGCTGAGAGGGAAGCCTGGGTCCTGGGTGCCAGAGGGAAGCTGTTCCAGCAGCCGGGGGAAGGCAGGCCTACTCTTGCACTAATTTCGTGCATCGGGCCTCTAGTATGTATATATGTGTATACATAATCACAAACATCCTATTCATTCTGTTTCTCTGGAGAAACCTGACTACTGTGAAATCTATCAAGATTTTTAAATACATCAATGACTAACAGCAGAGTCAGAAAAATTTTCAGAGACCAAAAGATACTATGAGTCCAAAGAAAGGAGCTAATATTAGAGTGGAAGTTTGACCTGGTAGAACCTGTTGATCCTGGTAATATGGAGAACTAGTTTTCAAACTTAGGGATTACAATGTATCTAAAAGAATTGGGGGAAAACTATATACTTCCACATATATTTTTAAGTTGACCTGTAAGTTTTTTATCATTAGCTTAACCATTGCAAAGGATATAATTATTTTTATATTGTACACATACCCAGGTGCATACACATGTACATATAGATATATCTCAAAATTAGTCATTCATTTTTTTATAAATTAAATCTTTGCTGTTCAGATTACTATAGTTGTTCCTCTTTTTCCCCCCCGATAGCTCCCCTCCACCCGGTTCCCACCCAACCCTCTGCCCTTACCCGCCCCCCCACTGTCCTCATCCATAGGTGTACGATTTTTGTCCAGTCTCTTCCCACACCTTCCACACCCTTTTCCCCCCAACCCCGAGAATAGTCAGTCCATTCCCTTTCTATGCCCCTGATTCTATTATATTCACCAGTTTAATCTGTTCATCAGATTATTCACTTGATTTTTAGATTCACTTGTTGATAGATGTGTATTTGTTGTTCATAATTTGTATCTTTACCTTCTCATTTTTTAAAGCACATTCTACAGACTCTCATGACAATAGTGATGTCCCAGCACCATCACACACTTAAGATGACACGAACAAGCTTAACAGCTGAACAAGTTAAAGTGAAAAATAGAAGTCAGAGAATTACTTGACCAGGTGCTTTATTAAGATGTCCAGCATCTCTCGGTTTTTCTCTGGTAATTTGTGTACCAGTGCATGTACAGCCTCCACCCGGTAGTTTTGGTCATCAGATTCTGTAACATACAAAAGGTTGCAAATCTCAAGTTTTAATTGCATTAAAAAATGTGTACATAAACATTAATAATCGTCACAACGACACTCACCCCTTCATGCCTTAAAAGCGCTGTTTCAAATGGTTATTATCACATATCACTCCCTAAGGCTGAGAGAGGCTCAGTAACTTGTCCATGGCCATGAAGTTAGTAAGAAAAGAAGTTAGCAAACCCAGGTCTATCTAACACCGGCTGGTGCTCTTAGCCACAAACTATATACATACAGACAACCGGAGCTCATTGCCTGCTTTGGTTTTGCTACACAAGGACACTGATGTGAGTGACCACAGCCAGGGTTACAGACTGCCTAATGGGTCAGGCACTGTGACTAATGTTTTATCATACTGAAACCTCGAGTGACTCCATCTGACTAGAGGAAGCACGCATTTCTTTCCAAATTTTACAAATTCAAAAACAACCAGGAGTTCTTTTTCTGAGGGGTCAGAATCACGGTGCAAATAGAGGCCTAGTCAATTTTAAGCCCATGCTGCCAACAGTAAATCTGAAGAGTGAGAAATCAGCTACAGCAAGTCTCATCTGCCAAGCCAAAGCCAAGATGCAGACTTATCTGCTAGAGAACTTTCTAGTCCTTCAGAATAAGGGATCTATTTAACATTCTTTTACTGCAATAAACAAATCCTGGGGTGACTGCCCACCCTACCAAGCTCTTTCTCTGCCTAACCGATAGGGCTGATATTATGGGACCACCATTTCTTCCAGGCACACCTATCTGGAGTGAGGAAAGGCTGGCCAAACAGAGCTCTCTCTCTCCCAGGAGTTGAAATGAAGTCACCCAAACTGATCTGTCTGCTGGATATGTGGAAAGGCAGACCATGTAAAACCAGGGCTGCCAGGACCTAATGTGCTCCAACCCAAGAAAGTTGGACTGAAAGAACAGAAATGAGAGACTTTCCAAATAGAGCGGGGGGAGACACATCAGTCCCCAGCTCTGCGGTTCCTGGTTGCAGACCCCTGGGAGGCCTGACCCCTCCTCGGCCAAGGAGTTCTGGGAGATACTGCTTCCTCTCTAAATAGCCTCCCCTTCTTACTGAGTGAATTTCTGTGGCTTGAAACCAAAGAATATCTAATTTTATTAACTTAACATCTATAAGTAGGATTACCCTTGATCCAGGCAAAAGATGAATTCTTATAGATAAGAACATATATTAATGATCATGGTAGTGAATAATATAATCATTATTTGCCAGAGAATAAGTGTAGAAAAAAGTCTCACAACCAGATGTTTGTATCGTATCAAAATCAGCAGCTCATTGAGTCATTTCAGCTAAGTGGCTCAACTGCCATCCTATCTAATAATAGAGAAACATGGTAATTAACCATAACTTTGCTACCCTTCCCATTGGCTAATCAGCGAGATATGCAAATTAACTGCCAACAAAGATGGCGGCCGGCAGCCAGGCAGCTGAAGCAAACAGGAGGCTTGCTTGCTCCATGACGGAGGAAGCCAACGTTCCCCATCTGCTTCGCCCTGCTCCAAGCTACTCTCTAAGCAACAAAGTTGCAATTATAGAAGCTAAACAAGCTCCAGATACCTGCTTTCAGCCAGCTTCGGCCTCAGAGCTTAGAGCGGCAGTGATGGCAACAATCTTTCAATTATAGAAGCTAAAAAAACCCAGGTACCTGCTTTCAGCCAGCTGCAGCCTCAGAGCTGGAGCCGGGCCTCAGAGCTAGAGCCTGCTCTCAGCTCCAGTGACAGCTATAGCAGGTAAATAAATCCCAGAATAAAAAAAAAAAGAAAAAAAGGAGAGGTTGGGAGCTTCAGTCACCGCCAGCCTGAAAACGGCCCTCAGCCCCTCACCCAGGCTGGCCAGGGACCCCAGTGGGGACCACCACCCTGAAGGGGGTGTGACCAGCTGCAAACAGCCATCAGCCCGTCATCCAGGCTGGCCAGGCACCCAAGCGGGACCCCCACCCTGATCCGGGACACCCTTCAGGGCAAACCAGCCAGCTCCCACCCGTGCACCAGGCCCTGCTATCCTATATAGCAGGGGTCCTCAAACTTTTTAAACAGGGGTCCAGTTCACTGTCCCTCAGATATTCCACACATGCGCACTGCAGGCCCTGGATGAATCGGCTGCGGCAGCAAAAACACCCGGTGGGCCAGATAAATGTTTTCGGTGGGCCGCATGTGGCCCGCGGGCTGCAGTTTGAGGACCCCAGCTATATAGTAAAAGGGTAATATGCAAACTGACCCTAACAGCAGAAAGACTGGGAATGACTGGTCACTATGACACACACTGACCACCAGGGGGCAGACGCTCAATGCAGGAGCTGCCCTCTGGTGGTCAGTGAGTTCTCATATGGAGGAGCTCAGCTCAGCCACAAGCCAGGCTGATGGCTGCCAGTACAGCAGTGGTAGGGGGAGCCTCTCCTGCCTCCTCAGCAGCGCTAAGGATGTCCGACTGCAGCTTAGGTCTGCTCCCCGCTGGCAAGTGGACATCCCCTGAGGGCTGCTCGGCTGCCAGAGGGATGTCTGATTGCTATCCTGGCCCAATCCCCCGGGGAGCAGGCCTAAGCCAGCAAGTGATCACCCCTGAGGGGTCCCAGACTGCCAGAGGGCACAGGCCGGGCTGAGGGACCCCCTCCCCCCGAGTGCACAAATTTTTGTGCACCAGGCCTCTAGTTTGTCATAAAATACATTATTTTATACAAGGAAGAGTTCTAGATTAAGAGTCTAACAGACTGGCTTGTAACTCTGGTATTGCCATGAATATACCAGTGTCCTTACACAACATCTTTTTGCCCAGTCTGGATCCTGTCTTCTTAATCAATGAAATTATTAAGGTCTTGTTCATTTCACAAAGGTAGATTTTCATGAAGAGAATGTTGCGAGAAGAGCTTTCAGGAGGAAGCTCAGTAGCATAGTTGTACATATCTATTCACAGGATCATGTGGTCAGCCATGTATGCTGGATTAAAAACCCAGGCCACTCAACTTTATCTGACACTGTTATCAGCAGACAACGTTTCCTGTGACATTACAATGTTGGTAATAAAATAAGGCAACTGATTTCTTTCTGGATTGTGAAAAATACATTGGTTACAGTCACACCTCATACATCTTAACAATGAAATTCCAACTCTAATTGTTACAATGCGTTGTGATGCTGTCAGATGGCGCTTTGGCACTCTGATCCCAATGTTGTAAAAGTACATATTTCTGCCCTAACTGGTTTGGCTCAGTGGATAGAGCATCAGCCTGCGGACTGAAGAGTCCCAGGTTCAATTCCAATCAAGGGCACATGCCTAGGTTGCCGGCTCAATCCCTAGTAAGGGGTGGCAGGAGGCAGCCAATCAATGATTCCCTCTCATCATTGATGTTCCTCTCTCTCTCTCTCTCTCTCTCTCTCTCTCTCTCTCTCTCTCTCCCTTCCTCTCTGAAATCAATCAAAAATATATAAAAAAGTCCATACTTCTAACTTCTCACAGATACCTTCCCCCACCTCCCCTCAGGTTTTGAATTAAACCTATCTATTCACACCACATTTTAACAGTCACCGATCTAAAGAAATGACATAGATAAGTAATCACCAATACTATAAATATAATGTGGAGGAAGGAGATCGAGGGAAGTGCCCTTTGCCTGCCAAAAATATCTGATTCTTCTCTCCAGATCTGGGAACACAGTATGTGAGTATGTGTATGGTAGTGGCATAACTGAGTGTACATATTTGTGGTCTTATCTATTTAACCATAAAGTTGCTCTTGTAAAAAACTGGTCTCCATCAATCCAAGTAAAATATAATGTGAATAATTTCTCACAGCTTTTGCTGATCACACTAGAATGTCACTCCAATGAGGTCTTATTAAATGACAAAATATTTTAGTTCATCCTGCAATTTCTTATTTATTAATAAACCATATTAAGTAACACATTGACAATTTCTTAATATGTAGAGAAGTCTTAACTAGTTGGTTTAAAGTTATACTTCTAAGTAATACAGCATAGAACGACATCAATGGAAGCATACTTACTAACAGCAAGAATAAAATCTTTGTGCAACTTGTAGGTCATTAGTGGTTCTGCAAGGCACCTGCAACAGAGAACAAAGCATCCTTTACAACGGCAGCATCTCTTTATTTCCCTGGACTCGCGGTGCTTCCTGGCAACTGGTGGTCAGGCTGCAGGATTAAGTCCAAGTAGGGAGGCTCCAGGAAGTGCTACAACGCAGACCTCAGAGACCCAATGCTGCTTAGCACTTCTAGCTACAATTATGATGTTAAAACGGGAGGCCCAGGGACCATTTTTCACTTTGTGAGTAAAACTCCTCTCAGATATGGGGATAATATTTTAAGAAAAATAACTTTCAATTTCAGCTTATTTGTAAGAAATACATGTGAACCCTACATTCAAATTTAGTATGAAACAGCCCTGGCCAGTTTGGTTCAGTGGATAGAGCGTTGGCCTGCAGACTGAAAGGTCTCGGGTTTGATTCCGGTCAAGGGCACATGCCTGGCTTGTGGGCTCGGTCCCTAGTGGAAGCATGCAGGAGGCAGCTGATCAATGATTCTCTCTCATCATTGATGTTTCTATCTCTCCCTCTCCATTCCTCTCTGAAATCAATAAAAATATATTTTAAAAAAATTTACCATGAAACAGAAATTACTTAGTATTCATAAGATACTTTAGCCTTTTAAGTTTATTATTTGAGAAATCAAGGATAAGTTCCAGAACACTAAACATTAAAAACATTACCACCTCATGGGGTGGAGCTCGCACACGGCGTGGCATCCCCAGGTGACGGCCGATCCAGGGAGAGGGCACCACAGAGTGTCCGCCGTTAACCCTGCTCACCTGAGGTAGTTTTTCAGTCCACTTGTTATTGTCTTATTATCCCATAGTTCAATATCAATGTCCATATCAGGAGGGGATTTGGGAGCTAAAGAGAATAAAAGTAAAATATTTAAATCGTCCCATCAAAAATACCACTTGCACCATTAAGAAAACAGGGACAAAAAAGTAAGTAGATCTAACAAAGGGGCACTAACCCTCAACTATTTCTTGTGGAATAATAGTTTCCCAAGTCAAATTGTTGCTAATGGCTAACATCACAGAGCGTCCACCATGCCTCGAAGTACATCATGTGAATTAAAATTTCCAGTCCTCACAACTCTTAATGAGGCAGGAACTATTATTATCTCCAGTTTATAAATGAGGAGGCTGAGGCACTGAAAGGTTAAGCAAATTCCCCACAACCACAAAGCTTTCCAGTGGCTGAGCTGGATTCCAAGCCAGGCAATCTGAATCCAGCAGCCATAAATCTCACTGCAACTCTAGCTAATCAAAGGCCACGACAGAGAAAGTCCAACATCATAAAAAGCCCCCCTCTCCAATTCTGATTGTTCATCTATTATAACTGAACATTGAAAACTGAATACAAAATATTACTTGAAAATACTCAAGGATAAGCAATAGGCCATATCTAAAAAAATAAAACAATAACAAAAAAACCCCACACCTATGGTTTGGATTATCTGTAAGAATACAAAAATTAATTAAGTAACCGCCTCATCCAAAACTTACAAAATGTGGTGTTCATGAGTTTCTGAACTTTGGAGTTCACTCCTCCTATTCGGTAGAGGCCTAAAATTGTGATGCCTAATGGGAAGAAAAAAATCACAAGAAAACGGCTTGAGACAGCTTCCCAAGTACAGAATGTTAAAAACTCAGGTATATGCCTACACAGAATCCGAAAGCTGCTTATCCAATTTTGTGATCTCACTTTATCAAACCTCCCTGGAAACACCCACCAGACATATATTTCTCAGAGCAGACACTGAACAGTGATTTGAAAGTCTTTGAAGATCAATCAAAGTAGCAAAGTACACCTGCCTATTCCCCACGACTTGAGTATGAATATGAAATAGCATCGCTCATCTATTTCTTCGGTCACGGAGTTCTGCATGTTGAACAGTTTTGTGGCATTTTTATCTTCACTGTAACGGTGAGGAAACAGATTCAAAGAATACAAGAAACCTACTTAACGTCTCAACACTTCTAAGTGGCAGGACCAAAATCTGAATCTAAGTTTAAAGAACTCCACAGCCCAATACGAATTTTGCTTTAGACCCGTTTTCCTGGAAGTGCAATTGCCTCACAGACCACTAGGGTGGGCTTCAGGAGAGAGGTCACAACTAGAGTGAGGAAGGTGCTGAAATCACTGAAGGAAATCATATAGGGAAGGAGGGGCTGAACACAAGCTACTTAGGAATGTTACTGACCTCCTTAAAGCAGAAAAAAAAAAAAAAACTAAAGGGGTACTTACAATAATAAGTCCATTAATAAGAAGTAAACAGGCTATTTTGGAAGATGTTACTAAGTATGTTTATAGGATGATTTTTGAGTAACTGAAGCTCAAAGTAAAACTATTTATGTATTTATATAATCACAGAATTTTTTAAATTAATCTCATGTCACTGGCTAAATACACCTCATTTTCTGAGCATTTCTATATAAGAATGGGCCACACGACAGCAGCGATACACCTGTCAGGTGTACTGACCTCTTGTTTCCACAGCTTGAATGCATTTTCTCACAAAGTTGAACCCTGCTTCATTTAAGTACACTGAAAAAGAAGAGAAAATCATTTTAAGTGTTCATGCTGAACTTACATTTCCCCTTCATTTGCCTCTGTCGTTTTATGGTTTAATGGTGGTTTTGGATAGAGCCTGACTTTTCACATGTGGTAGAAGCTGAGGAGGGTGGTTCACACTCACCAAAGTTATTGCATGAACTCGCTTCATTAGAAACACAAATCCTTTCAGAAAGTGAATGTTACATTGATCCCTTCCATTTTCTCTAAAATTAGCAACATCCTTCATTACAGGTTTTCACAGATGATAAAAGCAAAATGTAATAAGAATGAACTTTTATTGTGTGTTAGTAACTCTATTACAAAGCCAGTCACATGGGATTCTCAAAACAACATTATGATGTAGAGAGAAAGCTTTAATTTTAAAATGATTCACTGGGTTGCTGGAAACTTCATTTTTTGTTGTTGTTGTTCTAAGCTCTAGAGCCAGGATTCTAAACTTCTCTTGATTCCAAGTCCAGAGATCTTTCTTATTATATTTTGTACCGTATTCAAAATAATTCAAAATAACCTTAGTCAGTCCACTAAAAATCCCCCAAAGATTATTATTACATTGTGAAATAGCTATTTATTTTCATTGCTTTATGCCAGATTTTCTTTAAAATCAGATTTTTGAGGTTTTATGGCCTGATAAAATTAGGTTACTTGTTTAAACAGAAAGGATTTAATAATACTAAGTAACATTGAGAAGAAAAACTCAAAAAATTTTTTGTACTCTAATAAAAATTTTCATCGCATGTGGTGGCGATATGGCATTTCTTAATATTCCCAAATAATAACATATGCAGACAACTCGAACTAATGAAAAATTAAAAGTGGCTTCCATTTAAAGATGATAGATTAAACAAATTCATGTAGCTCAACATGCTAAAAAAAAAATCAAGAAGGGGTGCCACCAACAGGCAAAAAATTTGAAGAAATCCTGCACATAGAAAACCACTGAAATGGGAATTAGCTGAAAGGTTTGAGAAACCTTTGGCCCAAAAAAACCCCCAAGGTACTGAAAAGAAAGAATGTCTATTATATGTTACTAGGTGAAAAAGTAATCTACAGGATGATATGAACCAATTTCTTTTTTTCCCCAGTTTTCTATTTTCCATCACTATCCCCTCTTACAACTCCCTACCCCCCTCCCTGCAATCACCATACTGTTGTCAGTGTCCCTAAGTTCTTTCTCTTTTCTTTCTTGCTCAATCCCTCCACCCCTCCAACACTCTCTGCCTGCCCCCACCACCCCCTCTCACACACCAGAGCAGTCTGCCTGCTCTTTATCTATGAGTCTGTCTCTACTTTGCTTGTTAGTTCAGTTTGTTACCCTTTGCGACAGCATGGATGGGCCTGGAGAACATTGTACTAAATGAATTAAGCCAGTCAGAGAAAGATAAGTACCATATGATCTGACCCAATTTCTTAAAATATAATAATATGAGGGTGTTTTTTTTTCCTAGGAAAGAACTCAACTTTTTTTACATACAAACTGCAAGTAAAAAAGAAGAGGACAAAGATAGAAATGATCATTTTTATTCATTGGGCTTTGGAACTATCTAATACTTAAAAAAATAAAATTACTTCCTTAGAAATTAAAAAAATCAATAGATTAAAAAATGTAAAAACGCCAAAACTAAAATACATGCTGTCACCAATAGCAACTGGCTCATTTATGTATGTGTCCCCGGTGCCTACGTCAAGTGAATAGAAATCAGTGAATGCTTTGGGTGAACTCAACACACAAGAATGAATGGCCATGAAATAAGCATCTATTAGAGTTGACTCCCACATGAGGGTAGCTCCTTAGGACACCATGCAGTGATTGCTTGTTTCCAATAATCCAAAACGCTAAGTGAAGCATTTTATACATGATACGTTCTGAAATTTTTAAAGTAGTTTTTGGACATAGGAAAACAAGTGAATGGAGAGGTGAGGAACCAATCCTATATATTAAATAGATAATATGCAAATTGACTGTCACACCCTCACACAAGATGGCTGCCCCCATGTGGTCAAAGATGGCCACAACAAGATGGCCAGCAGGGGATGGCAGTTAGGGGCAACAAGGCCAGCAGGGGAGGGAACTTGGGGGTGGCCAGGCCTGCAGGGGAAGGCAGTTGGGGGTGACCAGGGCAGCAGGGGAGGGCAGTTGGGGTGACCGGCTGGCAGGGGAGGGTAGTTGGGGGCAATCGGGCCAGCAGGGGAGCAGTTAGGTATCGATCAGGCTGGCAGGGGAGTGGTTAGGGGGTGATCAGGCTGGCAGGCAGAAGTGCTTTGGGGGAATCAGGAAGACAGGCAGGTGAGTGGTTGGGAGCCAGCAGTCTGGATTGTGAGAGGGATGTCCGACTGTCAGTTTAGGCCCAATCCCACAGGGACCTAAATCCATGTTGAGCAGTCAGACAATCCTGAGGGGTCCCAGATTGGACAGGGTGCAGGCTGGGCTGAGGGACACCCCCCCACACACCCACCCCAGTGCATGAATTTCGTGCACTGGGCCTCTAGTATAAAACAAATAAAGAAATGAGGAATCAATTACTAATTTTAATTTTAAACAATAAACACTGAGCCCCCAAAATGCAATTTTAGGAAAAAACAATGCACTAGCATTTTTGTACCAATTAAAACTGTAAGTTCCTGACATTTATAATGTTTGCTTCTTGAGGTCACATTGTTCAACTTTTCAATAAAATAAATTTAAGAGAAAAGCATTTTTAAAAAGTTTCAATAAAACTTGCCTGTGGCAAAATGAGTGAAGATAATTGTGATAGATAGAAACAGAATTTAAGCATCCATTTTGAGAAAAATAAGCAATAACCAGGCTACATCCTGAAGGTATACTGGGCTGTTTGGCAGCAATACCCCCAGTCTGTGCTAACACACAGATCTGACAGGCTCATTATGAAGAATACAATCTTACAGACATGGAGTCTGCCTGCCAGGTCATCCCATGGTACCGCTGTCATGATGTGTCCATGGGTCTTGTCTTTAGTTCTATTCACTTCAGTAAACAAAACACTATCAATCAATTTAGAGATGTGGAAGAATATCGTATACTGGCAAAGATAACCATGCATTTCTATTTTGTTTCTTTTCTGTGCTTTTTGGGTTTTTTTTGTGTTTTTTTTTTTAAATCTTTATTGTTGAGAGTATTACAGCTGTCCCTCTTCCCCCCCCCTTCCCCCCCCACACATTGCCCTCCTTCACCCAGATCCTATCCTGCTCCAGGCCTTCACCACCCTATTGTTTGTGTCCATGGGTAATGCATATATACATATTCGTTCTTTGCATATCTCTTCTTGTCCCCTTCTCCCCTCTTCCCTCTGAGATTCATCAGTCTGTTCCATGTTTCCATGCCCCTGGTTCTACTTTATTCATCAGTTTATTTTGTTCATTAGATTCTTTGTTTATTTTGATTTTTAGATTCCATTGTTGATGGATATGTATTGTCATTTTATTGTTCACATTTTTAATCTTTTTCTCCTTCTCCTTCTTCTTAAAGAAGACCCTGCAATATTTTTGTTGTTTTTTATTTTGAATGTCCTTTGCTACTGCCTAAAAGAGTATAGGGAGGTTCCATTGTGTAGAGATGGCACCCAGCTTTGTTTGGAGCCAAGGAAACCTGGGTTGTGTCTCAGCTCTACTTCACTGCATGAATGGGAATGTGCCTACGAACTTTTATGGACTCTAGTTCTTTCATTTATAAATTGAGAGAAATAAGATTACATGTTAAATGTTTGTAGTAAGATAAAGATAAAACCATATGAAGCACTGAAGAACTCCTAACCTAATTAAATGCTAGTTTCCTTCTCCATGTGCACCTGTCCACACATCACCGCGATATGAATGAAAACAGAAGAAATGATGAAAGATGTCAGTCATTAGTTCTAACCAGATGAAAGGACAGTGGTTACTCTCCCACTTATCAGTTGTTACTATGCAGTTTTAATAGCTCTGTGCCTCAGTTTCCTCTTCTACACAGTAAGGATAATAGCAGTAAGTCTCCAGAGGGCTATTCACAGATGGAATACAGTAACATCTGCACAAGTCATAGAATGAACAGTACTTGGAATATAGTAAGTGCTACAGAAGTATTGGCTATCACCATAACCATCATTATTGGCTATGGGAGAATATAAAAACCTACATGTGTAAAATACATGAACAAGGTATTTTCTGGGCACAGCCACAGTCACTGGGGCTTGAAGAATTATCTGCCAGGAGTGTTATTTTTCAAAGAGGCATACATATTACTTATTCTAAAGTATTTGGGGCTAGAGTAATGATCTGTTTCTCTTTTAAAAATATATTTTTATTGATTTCAGAGAGGAAGGGAGAGGGAGAGAGAGATAGAACCATCAATGATGAGAGAGAACCAGTGATCTGCTGTCTCCTGCAAGTCCCCTACTGGGGATGGAACCCACAACCTGGGCATGTGTCTTTGACCAGAATCAAACCCGGGACCCTTCAGTCCACAGGCCAACACTGTACCCACTGAGCCAAACTGGCTAGGGCTGTTTCTTTAAACAAACACAGACCAGGCATAACCCATTCGGGCCCGTGAATCTAGCTGGCCACTGAAAAAATAAGTTGTATATTAAGAAATGTCCCTACATTCTCATTACACTCAACAAATCACAATGAACAAACACATCCTCTTCACTGGAACTGAATAGACTGAAGTCATCTGGAATCACTGTCCACCCATATATGTTGCCCCTTCCTACAGGAAGATCACATTATTCAGCTCCCTCAAAGTCAGCTTGCCCCTGGGATATGCGCTAGCCCATGAAATATGAATGGGGGTGACACACATCATTATCCAGCAGACCCTGAGAACCAGTATGTAGCCTGCCAGGTTCTTTTTCCCTCTGGCATGAAATCAACAATGATACTGGGAGAGGCCACTCCATGAGCTTGGGTTCCTATGTTGGACACTGTACCAGGTTGGAGCCACGGCTGACCAGGACAGACCCGCATCATGATCA